TTGGGTACTGGAATTCAGGTATTTGCAGGGAGGATGAAGTGCTAAACTCCACCCTCCATGGCCTGCATGCAGCAAGGATCACGATAAGAGTATAAGCAGCAGCAGCATTGCTGGGGTAGAAAAAGTAAATGGTAGTGAGGGGACCTGGCAGATAAGAAAGCTGGAGCTATTTTCTCTGCTTCCGTAAGTATGAAAATTTGGGATGAGAAGTAAGTAGACAAGATTTGGGAGACCCTCTAGGAAGCACGGCTTAATGCCCCTTCCCTTGAGAATAAGCTGGACTTAGAGAGTTACTTCTAAACAAGAATGTCTGGAAAGGGAAGTAGAGTAACCAGACAGTGGAGAAACCTGGCAGACACCACCTTAATCAAGCAATCCAGGTTAACAGGACCAATGATAAGTCACAATGACATCATGTACCCCTGATGTGATGTGATGAGAAGGGTGCTTCACCTCTGTTGTACTCTTCCCTAAAGGCCCTCAACTCCAGTCTAACTGTGAGAAAAACATCAGAGAAACCCAGATTAAGAGACATTTTATAAAATGCCTGAACAGTAATCTTCAAAGCTGTCAAGGTCATGAAAAACAAGGAAAGACTGAGAAACATCGCAGACCAGAGGAGACTAAAACTATCTGACAACTAAACGCAATGTGAGATCCTGGATTCTTGCAACAGAAAAAGAACACATGTGGGAAAACTAGTAATATGTGAATGAAGTCTGTAGTTTAGTTAACAGTTACTGTGTGATTGCTGGTTTCTTAGTTTTAACAAATGTACTAGGTTATGTAAGCTATTAACATCAGAAAAGCTGAGAGAGGGGAATATGGGACCGCTACATACTCTCTTTGCAACTTTTCTATGACATAAAATAAAATTAAAAATTAAAACGTTATTTTTGAAAAGTTATGTAAAACTCAGTTACATAAGGTTGTTTGCAGGAAAATTACATTTTTAACAATTTGAGGATTGTGCTTTTCTAGAGGAGGTTTGGGAGGTGGAGGTTTTCTCCTAACATCGCAAGATCATGCTGAGAAAAGAGTCGAGCAACAAGAGATGGCAGACAGGGCTTTCTGGATATCTGCTCATCCGAAGCAAAGTGTCCACAGTTTCATGCTAGCACCAACCCTCAATGGGACACAAACCACATGACCAGCTCCGTGTAAGGGGAATTCAAATAGGGGCACTTGTGGCCACTCATAGAAAGGCAACATGCTTCAGAGTCAGACAGATTTGGGTTTACTTCCCAACTCAACCAGTTATAATGTAGCTAGGTCCTTAGACAAGTCAATTAACCTCTCAGAGCTCCTGGTTTCTCTTTATAAAAGTTTTGATAATAATGCTTACCTCACAGGGCTATTGTGATGATAAAAGGATGTATGAAATTACCTAGCCTGGTTCCTAGAAATTAATGTTAGTATTTTTCTTTCCTTCCTTGGTGATTTCTCTCCATATTCACTCCTGTCAATAAAGTAGGAGAGCAGCTGAAGTCTGCTGTTATTCACAGTATGCAAATACATGAACTGGGTTGGTGCTTCTGAAGGAAGGTGGTAAACTCTGCACAATTCCAGAATTTCTGGAAAGCAAGAGTAAAGATAGGAGCCTGATTATGACAGGCCTTTAAAAACAGACAGATAAGTCAAAGATACAGAGGGGAAGATGGGAGTTAGATAGATTTTTCTGAGTAATATCAATATATTTAAGTATTTCTTCTCTTGATATCCCTGAATTCAGATCATTATATAGTCATTGTCCCAACTATGAAAGCAGCAAAACTGAGACAGATAATTTTCTGTATTTAAAATAGGTCAGAAAGATTATCAAACAAATCAAGGATGTACCTGTGTTCAGACACCTCATTTGCAAGCAAGCTGTACACACATGGAGCCATTACCCAGGGCCTCGTGTTCCTTCCTACTGACAGAGTTACAGTCCTGCCTTTCTTCCCAGACCCTATATATCCCACAGCCATAATCCAAAGAGCAAGCTAGCTGTTCTGACGTGATGTTACTACTGGTGCTCCCCCAGAAGACTGAACTTATACCTACCCCAACTGCTTGGGGAGGATGGTGTGCGGTCCTCCCCTCTCCCCACCCTAACCTCCATTAACTCCTGTCACCTACTTGTTAATTTCCATGCCAGGCAAATTCTCACACATCCATGGAGTTTCTTTTCATCCTTTTTCACTCAAGGAATAAAACTGGCCAGGGGCCAGTTATCTAATCCTTAGGGAGTTTTGTCAAACTACCACTTCTACCTTCTACTCCCACACCCAGGAAGAATGGGAGGCAGGGCATACAAAATTTGAAAGAAAGCCCTCGCACCTCCAGCTCTCTCTTAGAAGCAGTGGGCTAGATTAGAGGATCCATCTCCAGCTTTAACTTATAAAAAAGAACATTATCGGGAAACTTATTTTAAACGCTTTCAGTAAGCTTCAGTTTTACCAGAAGACCCTGGCATTTGAGGCTATCTTACAAGTTACAATCAATTTATGCTTTACAACACTACTGCCTTCTTCCTCTTAATCCCTTCTTTCTTTGTTAGTGTTTTTTTTCTTTTTTAACAGCTGGAACAACTGAAAATGGCTCAACAGAATGCTGGTAACAATGATCAGGGAAACCCAAAGTCACATATGTTTAAGTGAAACTTAGGCAATATAAAGAAACTTTTAAAATACTTGAAATGGCCAAGAATTTCCTTTACTTCTCACATGAACTGTATCTACTTTCCCACCCTCTTTCTACTCCTTCCCAAGTAGCAGTATTCAAAAGAAATTTTAAAATGGTTTCTTCTTTAATGTTCCTACTTGTTGTTTAAAAAATATATCTCACATAAATTTCAGGGCCTAAAAACCCAGCGTCTACAGTACCCCATGATAATTATTTCAGAAAGAAACTAAGCACCTGCAAGATTTTCATACCTCCCCTACCTCTCTCTCTTAGATAGAGAGAGAGAGAGAGAGAGAGAGAGAGAGAGAGAGAGAGAGAGAGATAATCTTAGCAGCCCAGCATGGATTTTCAGGCTGGATACATCCTGCTTCAGACATCATTTTGAATATTTTCTTCTTGTCCTAGAAAATAAAGCTTTATAATTGGGCATGATTCTACTCTGTCCCTACATCTTTCCACTCATCTTCTGATACAGTGGGAAAATAAGTGGATTTTAGAATCAGAAGACGAATTGGAGCCTTGCATCTACCCTCTCCTAGTTTTACTATTGTGAGCCATTTACTTAACTTGTTTGTACCTCAATTTTCTCATCCATATACTGGGTATAATATGTATCTATATTACCAAAGAAATTGTGAGGAACCAATAAAATAACATGTGAAAATGTAGCCCAGACAATAATTTGACTTGTAGCAGTTAACAGTTAAATAACAATGCTTCCAGTTATAGCTACCACAGAGAATGTTTCAGGATGTTATACGGACACTGCCCTCGTGCCTGCCCTTCATTTCAGAAAGTGACTCTTCTCAGCAAAGAGTTTTAAACATCCCTCCCTTTCCTGAATAGGCAGAGAATTTAGGGAGAGGCAGGATATGGCATATATATATTAGAGAGCCTGTAAGTTATCATATTTTGAAGAAATAAACTCCAAAACAATGTTTAAATTCCTGATTAATAATTACTTAGTGGCAGAACATATTGGAACCAGCAAAACTCCAAACCCACAGCATTGCTAAAAAACTGTGCCCAAGAAAGACTTTAGGCAAGTGTCTAAGCAAAGACTCAAGATCTTCAAACAGCAAAACAGTCCTAATATAAAAACAACACATCCAGTCCAAATGGGAAATAAATGAATACAATATAAGACACTCAAGAAATGAATCAGCAGAACTTTGTCAATACTAGAAAAAGAACCCAGACAAAGCAGGAGAATGGTTATTCACTCAGCCTTTCTTAGTGAGGAGAGACAGGAGTTTGACATCAGAAGACCCCACTGATCATTTAGACAGACAGACGGACACTTCCTGTTAATATTTTAAAGTATGTGTTTTTTTCTGATTACAAAAGAGATACATGTTCATCATAGAAAACTTGGAAAATGGGGAAAAAAATTACTCAAAACTTTCTACCTAAAAATAATTGCTGTTTTCAATTTTCTTTGCATATACATGTTTTTATTTCACTTAGTAGTAATAAGTATTTTATCAGGTCATATAAAAATGTTCTTTGACTATAAAATGCTAAATACACACTACTTCATCATACAGATATACACTATTGTACATATCTATGGTATAGCATAAATTATTTGAGTAAAAGGCAACAGAAACACCAAACTACAGAGTCGGAAAGAATGGAGATGTTTATTTTTCATGAATGGTCCTGGAGTTGAGGTATGGCAGCTCCGGGAACCATACAGCCAACTCGAGGATGCATAACTGCTCCACTATCCCCAGGCAGTCACCTCATCTGTGTGGTGCAAGATGGCCAATCATTATATCGGCATTCCAGCCCATAGGAAGAGGAGAAGGGAAAAGAAGGGAATGCATATACCTGTTCTGGGGGCGCCACCTAGAAATCACGGCAATACCTACTTATAAGAAAAAGCTGTAAAATGTAATTAGCCTCCAAAAACTCCAAGTAGCTAAAAATTCTGTTAACTATTTAAGAGAGGGGAAAAGAACAGATACTGGGGTCCATGAGGGCTTCTGCTATGCATTTAGAAGAGAGGGGAAAAGAACAGATACTGGGGTCCATGAGGGCTTCTGCTATGCATTTAGAGTTCTTATGTCGCAGTGTACATTTAATTGCTCTCAGCAATCCTTTTATCTCCTAATTTTCAGATTCTAACATGATGAATACCTCCAGGTTTTGTAGTATAAACTATTGGTTCTTTACTGAATACTGTAGTCAGGATTCTGGTGGCTGGAATGAGAAATATCAGGTAAATTGTAAAATTTGGAGATTTCTCGGGGTCTTTTTCAATAAAGAGAATGTTATTTTAATAAGATTATTTATTTTGTGATGTGTAAATATTACATATCCTATAAACACCAAAAAAACTATATAAATTATTATTTCCCAATTCCCATTTCAAAACATCAATATGCCATCTTCAGATTCCTATTCCTCTGTAGCCATAGTCCTGCTGTTCCAAACAAATAAACAAAAAGCTCAGCATTTTGGAGAACTGTGCAGTGCCCATAAATCTCAGTGCATAAATTCACACAGAGATGACATAAATTCACCAAAAGTCAGGTGTTCCCACCACCAGTCCAATGACTCCTCTCGGCTTTCTACTGAATTCCATATCATATGAAGGGTACAATCTTTTGTAAAGGGGCACTCAGATTGTGTTAATTTCACTTTTTGGCACATGCTTTTGAATTTGGCTCCCTGGATTTGAAGATCCTTGAAACCATCCTGGATTGGGCTTCTTCAATCCTAACCACTTCCCTCCACTCATCAACTCTGGCCCTTCCCTTCTTTCCAGAACAAACCTAGAAATTCAGTCCTAGAGTTTCTTGGTAGTAATACCTCACTTACTGTCCCTCAGCAAGTTGAGGACCCTTTTTCTATGCATCTGACACAATGTACACCTATTTCCTTTGACGTTTCTCTTCCCTCCCTTTTCTCTCTGAAACTTTCCTTTCCTCTTTTTCTCTTTGCACCCTCTTGCCATGCTTTAAGCCAGTCTAGTGGCTCCTGATGACCATTTACCCACTGCTGATCCCTTACCCAGGGCTCCTCAGCTAAACCTCAAAAATTTAACTAATGATGTGCTCTCTAATGTATTGCTTTATTTTGGGGAACTTCCCATTAAACTTCAGTAGCCATGGAACAGTGTGGTGACTTCCATGATCCAGGTATGCAACGTCCATGCAAAATACATGGTAAGCGATGCTTCAAACAAGTTTCTTACAGAAAGTGCCTACTTTTAAAATATTAGCAAAAATATATTGTCGAATGAATTGAAATACAGGCACTTAAAGGCCTAGGGAGTCAGATCAGCAATTCCAAAAATGAATTCCTCAGATAGCTGGGAAAACTGCCAACAAAATCTTGCGCCCCACGAGGTGACTCTAGCCACCATTGATTATTGAAATTCCACTATTTATTGAAACAAAGAATCTTCTTTGCTTTGTTTTCAGTTTAGGATGTGTGAGAATAATGAGAACAGAATGTCCCGGAGGGTAAATGGTGGAAATGATAACATAAATGGACTTGGCTCCCAAATCCATCCCTACAGAAGAAGAGAGATAATGGAGCAGGGAAGCAATTGAATACAGAATGTAGAGTATGAGGAAGTATATCATCAGCTTCAGAGCACCCACAGGAGTCTCAGTCTGAGGATTCCAAAGAACAGCGGCATTTCTCTGCATCGTCCGTATACGTCTCCTCAAGGAACTGATTAACAAAGAAGCAGAAGTCACATTAATGATGAATTGGAGAAATGAGCTCAAGACCAAAGGGGTCACCAAAGACAAGATTCCCTCAGTGATGTCAAATACTGTGTCATTTCTCCCAGCCACAAATTCAGAAGGGGGTGCTTTCTGTCTGAGCACAACATACAGGAGAGTGGTGGAGACAGAAATCAGCATACAGACCAGCAGCAGCCAGGGCATCTTGGGGGAGAGATTTTGTTTCAGCAGGAGAAGCAGTGAGTGTTGGTAGTTAGCAATCTTCACACAGTACAAGGCACTGAGCAAGGTTACAAACCAAAGACTATTAGAGTCCAAAAACATCCAACATGACAGGAAAAAAAAATGGATATGTAGACTGACCTTTCCATATTTGCAGAGATGAAGAAAACAGCATTCAGTCCCAGTATAAGAAACCTGGTGATGCCCAAGCTGAACAGGAGTCTATCAGAAGAGGAGATTCTGTGGCTTTTGACCCAAGTATTGTAACTGACTACTACAATAAAGAGATTCACGATAAGTCCTACAAAAGTCAAAATCACTGAGACAATAACAGAAAGAGAAAAGAATGTCTGAAGTGTCTTTAGTCACTGAGGATTCAGCAGTTGCGGTGTTGATGCTGGGAGCAGGAAAAATATTGAAAGGTACAAGTAGGCACCAGTACCAAGCTGGGAAAGATACTTCCTTTAATTTTCCCCAGTGTGACAAACGAGCAATCAGTGGTCTAGAGCCAGCTGCTTTACTGAGATGCAAATCTTCCAAGGATTGCATTACTATTTCTTCATTCATATCCTGTTTTCCCTAGAAATGCCTAATTAAAACAGCCAAGGTGAACCTGGGAGTCCACTTCTCCAAGAGAAGGAAAGCTAGAGCGAGGAATTATGGCAGGCTCCAAGGACTTCAAAAGCAAACGACTGAGTTCCAGTCCAGCATGTTTGTTTCACAGTGAATGCAGCTTTTCTTAATAGCAACCCCAGAATATGGTGGGAATTCTCATGCCTCCCTCCTACCCATCCACTCCCCCAACCACAAAAGCACGGATTACCCAAATCCAGCTTCTCTCTCTCTCCTCTCATCTGTTGATGTTGCAACCATTTTCTCCATCTGTCATTCTGGCCATGCCAATTTTACTCTTTCAACCCTTAGCATCTATAGCAATTTACAGTTATCTAATAGATTAAGTTCAAGAACCCCACACCTCCTGGAGAAAGCCTTTTTCAACTAGTTTCACCCTTTCATGATGGTTCTTTTACTTTCATTTCTTCCCCAGGCACCTATATAGACTTGTGTCATAATAATTTGCTGTGATCTGCTTTTTCTTGGAAAAGAAATGTCAGCCATTTCATGTGTTTCCTTTATAGACCTGGTTTATGCTTAGAACACATGTGGCTACTTTCTCTCAGGCATTTAACTGCCAATCAAAGTATTCTGGTACTAGATACACAGTAATGTTTCAGTTATAGTTTTGTGGGCAAAATAGATAGTCATATCACTGCCCGATTTCCCTGTAGTTTCTTAGGTAGTAAAGGGTACAATATGCCTGGCAAATTACATTCTCAAAGACCATGAGTGAGTGCAAGAGTATGATACTCTTACCTACTCCAGCAGTTGGGTGAAGCCAAGCCACAATCCTGGATGCAGCCACATGTAGGTTACCAAACTAGCAGCAAGGTAATGCATACAAAGTCTTATTACCAAATCCAAATAGGAACAGATAAGAAGAAGGAGCTAAGATACGAAAATTACCAGGTCCAGAAGAGAAGAGTAAATTCCTGAGGCTCTTTAAGAAAGACGACAGGAAGGCAAGCCTGGAGGAACTCCCTGATCTAGAACCTAGCTTTCTGTACAAAACTAATGGGCACTGACAGAGGCATGCCCAGATCAAAGAAGTAACACAGAGTAAGCAAGGCAACAGTTAAAGCAAAGATTATATCAGAGCACATATCTCTACTTAACTATCTACAAAATAGATTACTACATTGAAGTAATTAAGTTAAAATATTATAACTACCACATTTAAACAGAATAAACAATATGGAGTAAGATATAAGAATTAAATGTTCCATACTTGAAAACCAGAGTTTGTGGTTACAAATCAAAAACATACAATGGATTCACAAAAACCAAAAAGAAAAGAACTCAAGCATAATACAAAGAAAACCTTCAAAACACAAAAGGAAAAACAAAAAAGAAAAACAAAGGAACAAAGAAGAAATATAAAATCGACCGCAAAACAAGGTTTAAAATGGCAATAATTATCTATCAATAATTACTCAAATGTCAATGGACTAAATGCTCCAATCAAAAGACAGAGAATGGCAGATCTGATAATAAAACAATAGCCTACAATATGCTGCCTACAAGAGACCTACTTTAGGGCGAAGGACACAGATAGATTGAAAGTGAGGGGATGGAAGAAGATAGTTCATGCAATGGAAATGACAATAAAAGAGGGTTGCAATACTCCTATCAGACAAAATAGACTTTAAAACCAAGGCCATGAAGAAATAGAAAGAAAGACACTCTATAATGATAAAAAGATCAACACAAGAGGAGGATATTACATTCGTTAATATATATGCACCCAATATAGGAACAGCTAAACACATAAGACAAATGCTAACAGACATAAAGGGAGAAACTGATAGGAATACAATAACAGTAGGAGACTTTAACACCCTGCTCATATCAACGGACAGATCTTCTAGACAGAAAATCAATAAGGCAACAGAGATCCTAAATGACACAATAGAACAGTTAGACTAAATTGATATTTTCAGGACATTACATTCAAAAGAAACAGAATACACATTCTTTTCAAGTGCACATGGAACATTCTCTAGGACAGACTACACACTAGGACACAAAACAAGCCTCAACAAATTTAAGAGGATAGAAAGTATTTCAAACATCTTTTCTGACCACACGGCATGAAACTAGAAATCAACCACAGAGAGAAAAATGAGAAAAAAACGATTACATGGAGACTAAACAACATGCTACTAAAAAACCAATGGAGGACTTCCCTGGTGGTCCAGTGGCTAAGGCTCTGCGCTCCCAATGCAGGGGGCCCAGGTTCAATCCCTGGTCAGGGAACTAGATCACGCATGCCTCAACTACAGATCTCACATGCCGCAACTAAGACCCACACAGCCAAATAACAAATTATTTTTTTTAAAAAAAAGAGTCAGTGATGAAATCCAAGAGGAAATTAAAAAATACCTGAGACAGGATTAAAGACCTAAATGTAAGGCCAGAGAGTATAAAACTCTTAGAGGAAAACATAGGCAGAACACTCTACGACATAAATCACAGCAAGATCCTTTTTGCCCCACCTCCTAGAGAAATGAAAATAAAAACCAAAAATAAACAAATGGGACCTAATGAAACTTAAAAGCTTTTGCACAGCAAAGGCAACCATAAACAAGACCAAAAGACAACCCTCAGAATGGGAGAAAATATTTGCAAATGAAGCAACTGACAAAGGATTAATCTCCACAATTTACAAGCAGCTCATGCAGCTCAATAGCAAAAAAACAAACAACCCAATCCAGAAATGGGCAGAAGACCTAAATTGACATTTCTCCAAAGAAGATATACAGATTGTCAACAAACATATGAAAGAATGCTCAACATCATTAATCATTAGAGAAATGCAAATCAAAACTACAATGAGATACCATCTCACACCAGTCAGAATGGCCATCATCAAAAAATCTAGAAACGATAAATGCTGGAGAGGGTGTGGAGAAAAGGGAACACTCTTGCACTGCTGGTGGGAATGTGAATTGGTACAGCCACTATGGAGAACATTACGGAGGTTCCTTAAAAAACTACAAGTAGAGCTACCATACGACCCAGCAATCCCACTACCGGGCATATACCCTGAGAAATCCATAATTCAAAAAGAGTCATGTACAAAAATGTTCATTGCTGCTCTATTTACAATAGCCAGGAGATGGAAGCAACCTAAGTGTCCATCATCAGATGAATGGATGAAGAAGATGTGGCACATATATACAATGAAATATTACTCAGCTATAAAAAGAAATGAAATTGAGTTATTTGTAGTGAGGTGGATGGACCTAGAGTCTGTCATACAGAGTGAAGTAAGTCATGAAGAACATAGGGGTAAGATGGGAAAAAAGACACAGACCTACTAGAGAATGGACTTGAGGATATGGGGAGGGAGAAGGGTAAGCTGTGACAAAGTGAGAGAGTGGCATGGACATATATACACTACCAAACATAAAACAGCTAGCTAGTGGGAAGCAGCCCCATAGCACAGGGAGATCAGCTCGGTGCTTTGTGACCACCTAGAGGGGTGGGATAGGGAGGGTGGTAGGGAGGGAGATGCAAGAGGGAAGAGATATGGGAACATATGTATATGTATAACTGATTCACTTTGTTATAAAGCAGAAACTAACACACCATTGTAAAGCAATTATACTCTAATAAAGATGTTAAAAAAAAATACCTGAGACAAATAACAATGAAAATACAACCATATAAAATCTATGGGATGCAGCAACAGCAGTCCTAAGAGGGAAGTTCACAGCAATACAGGCCTTTCTCAAAAAACAAGAAAAAAATCTCAAATAACCTAAACTACCACCTAAAAGAATTAGAAAAAGAAGAACAAATAAAACCTAAAGTCAGCAGAAGGAATAATAGTAAAGATCAGAGAGGAAATAAATAAAATACAGATTTTAAAAAATAGGAAAAGAAACAATTAAACCAAGAGCTTATTTTTTGAAAGGATAAGCAAAATTGACAAAGCTCTGGCCAGGATTTCCAAGAAGAAAAGACAGAGAACTCAAATAAACAAAATAAGAAATGAAAGAGGAAGAATAACTGACACGGCAGAAATACAAAAAAACCGTAAGAGAATACTATGAACAATTAATTATATGCCAACAAATTGGACAACCTAGAAGAAATGGACAAGCTTCTAGAAACACAGAGCCCACCAAAACTGAATTAAGAAGAAATAGATAATTTGAACAGACTGATCACTAGAAGTGAAATAGAAATCTGTAATAAAAAAAAAAATATCTCCCAGCAAACAAAAGTCCAAGACCAGATGGCTTCACTGGGGAATTCTAAAATACATACAAAGAAGAACTTATGCCAATCCTTCTCAAACTCTACCAAAAGACTGAAGAGGAGGGAACACTCCCAAAGTCATTCTATGAAGCCACCATCACCCTGATACCAAAACCAGACAAAGACACTGCCAAAAAAGAAAATTACACGTTAATATCTTTGATGAATATAGATGAAAAAGTTCTCAACAAAATATTAGCAAACCGAATCCAACAACACATAAAAACATGATGAAGTCGGATTCATCCCAGGGTCACAAGGATGGTTCAACATACACAAATCAATTATTGTGATACACCACATCAACAAAAGAAAAGACAAAAACCACATGACCATCTCAATAGACACAGAAAAAGCATTTGATAAAATTCAACATCCATTCATGATAAAAACTCTTACCAAAGTGGGTATAGAGGGAACTTATCTCTACATAATAAAAGCTATTTATAGCAAATACATAACCAACATAATACTCAAAGGTGAAAAGCTGAAAGCCTTCCCACTAAAATCTGGAAAAGAAAAGGATGCCGAGTCTCACCACTTCTATTCAACATAGTACTGGAAGTCCTAGCCACAGTAATCAGACAAGAAAAAGACAAGAAAAAGAAATAAAAGGTACCCAAATTGGAAGGGAAGAGGTAAAATTGTCATTATATGTAGATGACATGATACTATATATAGAAAACCCTAAGGACTCCACACAAAAGAATTGATAAATTCAGCAAGAGAGCAGGATACAAGATTAATATACAGAAATTGGTTGCATTTCTTTACACCAATAATGAAATATCAGAAAGGGAAAGTAAAAAAAAAATCCCTTTTAAAATCACATCAAAAAAATACTTAGGAATAAACCTGACCAAGGAGATGAAAGACATACGCTGAGAACTATAAAACACTGATAAAGGAAACTGAAGGTGATTCAAAGAAATGTAAAGATATCCCAGGCTCTTGGATTGGAAGAATTAATATTGCTTAAGTGGCCATACTACCCAAAGCAATCTACAGATTTAATGCAATCACTATCAAATTACCCAAGACATTTTTCATAGAACTAGAACAAATAATACTAAAATTTATACGGAAACACAAAAAGACCCAGAATTGCCAAAGCAATCCTGAGAAAGAAGAACAAAGCTGGAGGCATAACCCTCCCAAACTTTAGACAATATTACAAAGCTATGGTAATCAAAACATCATGGTACTGGCACAAAAACAGACATGGATCAATGGAACAGAACAGAGAGTCCAGAAATAAACCCACACACCTATGGTCAATAAGCTTCGACAAAGAAGGCAAGAATATATAAAATGGAGAAAAGACAGTCTCTTCAGCAAGCGGTGTTGGGAAAGCTGGACAGCTGCATGTAAATCAATGAAACACTCCCTCACACCATACACACACACACACACACACACACACACACAAACTCAAAAGGGCTTAAAGACTTAAAAATAAGACATGATGTCATAAAACTCCTAGAAGAGAACATAGGCAAAACATTATCTGACATAAATTATAGCAATGTTTTCTTAGGTCAGTCTCCCAAATCAATAGAAATAAAAGCAAAAATAAACAAATGGAACTTTTCAAACATATAAGCTTTTGCACAACAAAGGGAAACATAAACAAAATGAAAAGACCCTACAGACTGGGAGAAAATATTTGCAAACGATGCGACTGACAAAGGCTTAATTTCCAAAATATACAAACAGCTCATACAGCTCAATATCAAAAAAACAAACAACCCAATAAAAAAATGGGCAGAAGATCTAAATAGACATTTCTCCAAAGAAGACATACAGATGGCTAATAGGCAC